ACCAAAGTAGACAGCACAAATTTCTTCATTAACATCATAGCAATTATAAAATTTATCAATGTAATTTATAAGTTGCATAATACGACTGCAATTTTTCATAAACCCATGTTGGCTATAAGTTAGAGTATGCCGATGTTTGGAATGGAAAAATTGAAGAATTATTTCTTTGAGACATGAAGACAAACACGGGAGGATACTGATACCATGATAGTTAGTAACGTCTGATTTCCAGTTTGACTAATATAACGGAATAACACCAGCCTCATTCCAGTTTTTCGGCCAAGAACAGCAAAACATAGTTTGAGAGAAAAAACTGTAACTAATTATGGAGTAAAAATGGTGAAAAACCATCAACTGCCACTGCCGAAGTATCTAGTACATCATGTAACTGATCAGTAAAGTCCTTTTCAGAGAATGATATATCAGAAAGGGGGATAGTACTATAACCGCGTTGTTTGCGAAAAAAGCTCTGGGGCTTAAAAACAGACAGGAAGAAAGTATTAAAAAGATCAACTTTTCCGTTATCGTTGTCAGCTGTTGAGGAATCAAAAAAAAATTGAATGGTGCCAGGAAGTTGGATAAGTAGCTTGAAACAAAGTTTGGTATTCCTTGAACAAAATGAGGACAAGAAGACACGTTGTCTAGTTCAAGTGAATTATCCAGTTCATGTTGGAGAGATGAGAATTTTGTAGAAGAAAATAACAGAAATTAGCAAGTCTACGTGTCTCAAAAGAAACTTTATTACTGAGATGAACAGAGTTGCTTGAGAAATAGTTAGGCATCAATGGACATTTTTGCGTTTGAGACTATTAGAAAAGTGGAATGTTCCACAGATCTACCTATTGACAATTGTTTGTTTGTTAAGTTATCTTCTTTGTGTTTCCGGCTTCGTTCATTTTTTTTATATTTCGAGTACAAAATTTTTCCTTTGATTATGCTTTTGATGTCATTCAGGCCGTCGTTGTTGAGGTGAATTCTATCTGGTTTAAAATAGCGTCTACCTGCAGTAAGGCTACTGACGCCGCGATGTTTCAACTCGACTCTTGACTGAAATCTCGGTGAAACTCTCTCAGCTCTCACCTGAAAATTTTCATTCGATACACTTGCGCGGTTTTCGTTCCGTTAGGGAATACCCAGAACAAAAACGCTTCTGTTGGTTCCATGGCAGACGAAGTCTCTAAGTTCGATCGATCAAGTATGGGGCTGTTTTTGGTGACTGTTACTAGAAGGCTCTAACCTGTTGAATAGATCGTTGCCCCAAGAGAAAGAATGATGATATCGAAACGTCCTGCGAGCGAGGGAAATACAGTCGTATGCGTGCCTTATACCGGCACCAGGGAGTGACAGGATATTGAGGTTCAGCTTCCAAAAACCTGGCTGCTGATCTGCTATCAATACGTAATTCGTCGGAGCAGCTTTGAAAATACGAAACCTCGAGTGTCTAGGCATACAACAAAATTGTTCTTGTAATCCTCCCATTGAAGCCCCACTACACAATATTCGATTACAAACTAACATGTAACTGTTCAATAAAAACAATTTAATAAGAGCAACCACATTTAGTAAGAAAAAACACATCTACAAGCGCATTGACGACAGAAGTGTGAAGACGAACAGGAAGTGCAATCGGACCAATTCTAGATCAACCGTCTCGTTACAGTGCAAGAAGTCACAACATGCATGAAGAAAGTGACTAACGGACGTGCTCCAGGCTTTGATGATATTGCCACTGAACTAATCAAGTAGGAACCCAAAAGCGTTCACCAAGGCATTTGTGACAGTCTCGACAATCTCTTGAAGCATCATGGTTATTTAGACATTGGACGTGGTATAATAGTTGCCCGCCAGAAAAAGGGAAACCATACGGTCCTCTGAAAATTTTGCGTCCCGTTGTCCTTTTTTCCTGTCAGTGCTGAGCACACGCTACAGAAAATTGAATCACGAATGTAACCGAGTGCCCAATGTAACATTCGTCTACTGTAGTCACACATGAGGCTTAAGAAAAATAGGCCCTATAACCATTGGCTCAAGAGTCAGGGACACTATCTCTTGTGTTTTTCTACCTCAAATCAGTCGGAGCCAATTCGGTTCGCTTGTGACATGAGACTACGACCCGTTACAGCTTAAAGGCTACTACCAAAATATCCCCCCCACTCTAGAAATAAGAACGTCCCCATACTTAGGTCTCTAGATACCCAAAATACATGAACGCCGTTAAAAACCGGGTCGGAACAATCCGTTAAGTTACTTTTTATTAGACAGTGGAACTTTGATCCATTTCAGATGGATCAACCTAAAACTCGCCTTACCTCAACATAACAATCATGAAACACACTCTAGAAATTTAAATTGGGTACTCACATCGTAGCACGCTCAAGAACTGGGAGTAATTAAGTTAGTAAACAACTCGAGAATTAAATAATGTAACTAAATGAGTTTAATGTTTGTTAGTTTCAATAACAGGAACAAGTTTGAACTCTAGAGTATAGTTTCTCGTGAACCATTGGGACACTCAAGCTGTCCACCTTTCCATCGAAGGTTCACTCTAGTCCAGTTTGAATGATAATCCAGTCGAGCAATAATAGTCCAATTCTCGGGAATACGCTTCCTTCTGTTTCAGATAGGACAGCTCTACTCTAGTTTTATTGTGACGGAAATTGCGAATGGCAATTTCCTACTGCTTTATCTGGCAACTTTCCCGCGGTTGTTACTCGATCGTTCTGATTTCTCTTTTTCGGTTTTCAGTTATCGCGAGAGAATCGTGCATGACAGGCTCCATTCGAATTTTTGAAAAATCAAATTTCACTCCAAAATTAAGCGTTCTTGTTTTTCTCAAGGTCAAACTTCCAAATATGACCGACTGGCACACAACAATCCAAGTGACATGAGAAATTCTCACTATAACGAGCTGTGAAGAGAGAACTACCTGCTCACAGAAACTTCCAACGATGACCTTTGATGTCATTTCTAATTTTTTTTCCAATATATCCCAGAGCCGAAATAATTCAGCGTGTAATATCTTGCTATCTCCCTCGAAAGGTGCTTACACAAATGGGAGATGCACCACTGATGTTTGGGCATACAAGCTCCTTGCCGAAGAAAGAGAAGATATCGTGCTTCCCAAATGGAATCTGTGTGAGCTCTGCCTTTGATGCAACTCGCGGAGACAAGCATCTTGAGGTGACCAGTAATGTTTTGAATGAAGACGAAAAAAATGGTGATCCTCGCTCTTATTAGCGACATTTCAATACAAATTCGTGTCAATGGATGTATTAGATGAACAGACTTAGTCATGTTTGAATAATTTCATCTCATTTTATTCAAACATGAGTAATGAGTTACTAATCTGATGTAGTAACTAATATTGACTTTACTATGTTAATGTCTTGACTATTCTGTATAGTAATTAAAGTGTTTCTTCTTCTATCTCCTCAGGTAAATGGTTTGCAACACTCAACGAAAATTATTCCGACTGCAACAATGATCCAACAGAAGCAATATATGCGGGCGATACTGACTTCATCACGTTTTCAGAAGCCCAACGCGATCTAAACAACCAGGTGTTTTTTTTGTCAACAATGATAAACTGAAAATATTACAATAGCTCGATCAGAAAAAAAACCTAGTTTCGGAGAAGAAACTGCTAAGATCTGTCTTTGATTGGGGCCGTCTTGAATGAACTGAACAGGCTGTGGTTTCTAAACAACAGAGTGTCCTTAACGACACACTTGAAAGTATAAAACGCCCTCGGGAAGCCAATTTTACTCTTGAACAGCGAAACATGAGAATCACAAACACCTAAATGAAAGGACAACGCTTTTAACAGCTTTTAACAGAGATACCAATCTCGAGCACAACTGTTTTGAGACGGTCCACGAGCTTTCCTGCTATAAAAATATCGCCTCAGATATAAAACGATGGAAACAATTGCAAAACCCAGTAATTGCTGCTGCCAAAATTGAATAATCGTTTTTCAAGTTTGGAAGTGTTTATAGAGATTTACTACTAGTACTACAACTACTAAAAAAGTAGACTTTTCGATGAAGGTTTATTTCAGCGCGGTCTTGCAAGTTAAAAATTCATAAACCAGCACAAAAATTTCCAAAAATTATGATTTTTTTAAATTAAAACTTATATTTTATGTGGAAAACTGTCTCAAAAATTTAATCAGTTTACTTTTACTGTCGAATTTCTATCCTTTAGTTTGGATTCCCTGATGACACTAAAAAAAGAAATGACGAAATTTGTTTAAAAAAAACTTTCTATCCTTGTTGTTCCGACTTTCGATACGAAAGTAACGGAATATTTGTGCTCGGGGTGGGTTTTTTTTTCTTCAGACAAATTTCGACTTTTTAACTAGCCATTTTTGACGGAATTTCTTTACATCATTCAAAAGGTATTGTTGTCCTGAGCTCAAATTTGAAAAGATATTTCACCTGTGATCATTTTTCGTAAAGTTACGGGGGTTTAAAGATTGCCCTTTTTGGCCAATTTGGGACAATTAACGCGCGATATATTTCGCGTAACGCGTAAGCGGAGAGTTAATCCGTCTTGGAAATCGTTCCAAATTGGTTAAAAGAAGCTTATTTGCCATAATTGGTTTGTTACAAGGAGCGAAATCTATCCTTTTGTACTTAGTATGGCGTGTGGGGGGATAATTTTTAGAATTTTTTTTTGATTCTGTTTTATTTCATTGAATTTTTTAATGTTATTACTCCTCCATAAATCTTAAAAGGCAGTCGGAACATTCAGGGCTTCGCCCTGATATGAGCTGTCTTGTTTATTTTTGTATTTGCTTATGATTAAAAAACTCGCAAAGCAGAATTTTTCGCGCTTTTTTCAATTTTCTCATCTTAAGTGGTTCGAAGTTCGTCTTCGCCTCTGTGTTTAGTGTTGGTAAGGTATGATCTTTACTATATTATGATAGTTAATAATAATAAAACAGACCTCAGTATGATGGAAGGGCCCATATTAATTGCCTTCTTGGTTGGCAAGCTGGGGAATTTTTTTAGATATGTGATATTTGCCGAGTTCCCATTTGTGCTTAAAGCTGCAAAATGTCTTCTAACGACACTGAGGATGGCAGCCTTGACGTGATGGAATTATGTAAAGCAGCGTTCGTGTCCGAAGAGCCATCGTTGACTGAGAATACAAAAGCAATTGCTTCGTATCCAAATATACCGGTTTCCTTGCCTGTGAATCAGTTACTTACAACTGTTCAAAACGTTACTTCAACCGTAGAAGATAGTGCAACATCGGATTATGAAAGCACGTGTTCTGACTCAAGCTTTCAATTTCGGCACATTATCATGTCCCCGAGAGTTTTGTCTCCTGATTCTCAGACTCCGTCTTCTGGAGCTGTATCGCAGAAGGTGATTTTTCTGATTGTTCACAATCTCTTAATTTTTAAAAGAAAACATCCTTCAAACATAGCTGCAGTTAGTTTTGCGTTTTTATGCCTTCTTCCAAATGATAATAAATGTTTTTTTTTTGAAATTTTAGGAGGCCCCCGATTTTGATTTCGATGATTCATCTGATGTAAGTGTGGATGCTTATAAGTCAGAGCCAGAGTTGGTTGTTAATGCCCTTATTACGGCAAGAGATACGCGTCTAAATAATCAGCGAATGACAACGGGCCAGTCGGCGTCTTCCTGCTCACCTGCCGGAGTTTCTGGCAACAAAAGCAAGCGTGCATTTGTGTTTGACGTTGAGAAGGTGTCCTCGGAAGATGCGTCTGAGAGTTTTCGCAGATGGAGAAAATCTGCTAGTGATTCTACTGCAGCTTTTCGAAAATCATCAAAGTCGGTTGTAGAACCGATATCAAGTGCAGCTAATCAACTTCCAAGTTTCGCTTTTGGTGCTAATAAAGCAATAAGTGCTTTCAAACTAACTAACACGAACTTGTCTTCTGGTGCTAAAGAAAAGATGGACTCCAAAAAAGGGCTATCAGGAATCTCAAAACTCTGCGAGCAAAAAGAAGATTTTTCTGAGAGTTCATACAGGTATTTGGGCAGATCATCAAGCTTGCCGCTTAGTTTACACGTTGCTACTAGGTAAGTTTATATTAAAAATATAGGTTTTAAATTTAATATTTTGTAACTGTTTTTCAAAAACTAAATCCAACTAGCAGTCTCTTTTCAGCTTGGAGCATGGAAGTTCTGGTGCTAATATTGGTCAACTTTCCCCATGTGCTACTCCTGCCGCGGCTCAACCGGGAGCTCTCAGTCCTTTTTGTGGAGTGTTTCAGTCATCTTTCAGTCCTTCCTTTTCGGATGTCAAACGCAGTCGGTGTCCTAGTTCATCGAGTAGGGTCAGTAATTGAAAAATACTCACGAAAAGCAACGTTATAGCTTCGAAGAAAGTGCTCTTAAACGAAAGTAACATCTTTCCTCGAGTCGGTCAATTTTTTTTTGATCTAATCGATGTCTATCATAGTCACACATTTGAATAATTGCTCATAATTTTAACCAACATTATATAGTAATTATTTCAGTGTTCTGCATCCAGCCCTCGTCCTCCAAGCAGAATAGACCAGATCAAAATAGAGGAGGCAACTGGTCTAGAAAGGGACACTCTCTTTGAACGCGACGTGACCTTATCATCCTCATTGGCCTCATCTTGGGAAGATCTGTGCTTGTCGGTTAGAAAAGCTTCATTATAGCAGTTACTATTGCTCTACCAAATGTTTTGTAATCGATTACGTAACTTCTTACTGGCTATAGTTTTTTCATAATTCAATTTAAAATATCCCATCTAAATTAAGTAATTATCTATTGATCCAGTTTTGCCTAATTGGGCTAGTTTTTTTTTACTCAAGCGAAGGGTAGTGTCACATTACGAACTATACTTTTTCCAACCCAAGTCGTAAATAACACTACTCAACTCATTTATTAGGTGGCACGTTTGCTGCAACAGCTTTATATGTAGTTCACTTTTGATTCATACGATTTTTTCTTTGTATCTGGTTTTTTAATTCACGCTCAAATTTGATTTTTTGATTTCTTTTTCAGTTTAATTCATTTTGCTTAAAAGAAGTCAAAGTCCACAATCGAACTGCAAAAGTGTCACTCCTAATTTCGAAAAAGATCAGATTTCTTAGCGACATAAAAATTTTATCTATTGATCCACGTTTCTCGAATTGGGTTAATTTGATCAAAAAAAAATGTCAATAATAAATTGTTCTTGAAATTTGAGGAGCACTAAAACCATATTTTTTCTTTTTTATTTTTTTCAAATATCAAGCCAGTAGTTTTTTCTATTACTTTGCGTTCATGACTCTCTTCTAACTGTCTTTTGGCTATGTTAAAAGTGGTCAAGGCGCAGATGCTAGGACGCGTGACTTTAAATCTCCAGGCCGGTGTTTGATTCCGGCTCATAGTATGATATTATTAGTTTTACCTTTTTGCAATTTTTGACACTTTCAGATCTAGTTTTTGTGATTTTCTTTCTTGTGTTTGCGAAGTATTCGCTTCGCTGCTCTGTGTAAAATGTATTGATAGCAACACGGAAAGCTTTTTTTGGCTTTTATCTGAGCTCATTGGCATTTTTCAAATTATTTGTTTGTTAGGTTTTGGTTAGGCCAGTCTGCTAAATTTCATAGCTTTGGTGGAATCACATTACTTTTATTGGATTTAGGCATTGAACTTTTCGAAGGTCTACTTAGGTGTCAATGAGCGTAGTGAAGACACTTATATAGACCATGTTGACGTTGAAAATTGCTTACGCTCAAATTTGATATCTGATTTTTTTCAAAAACTTTTTTTGAAACTCAAAATTGAAAACTCAATTTTTTTTGTTCTGCCTGAGTTCATCGACACTTTTCCAATCGTCTGTTGGTTCTTCTCTTGGCTCGAAATTAAAAAAAAACTCGTTTCTTTAATGAGTTGCACTTCGCTTTGACGTTTTGTGTTTTCTAATAATTAAGTTTGATTAGCAGTACAATCATTACAGCTCCCTTTTTTTCCAAAAAATTGCAAAGCTCACGTCCTGAATTTTTGATTAGTTGGCTTGCATTTTTTGCTAGTCTCTTTTCATTTCATTCCCACGTTCTACGGCCACGAAAGTTTCTGAAGGGGATGCGATGGAGATTTGACCTGTGTCGGGTAGTCACATCTGAGAACGTATTTACACAATTGAAGCGTGGTGTATTATTACGAAGAAGTTTTTTTACACAAGCGAAGCGTAGTGTATTACGAAGAATTTTTTTCAACCTAAGTCGCAAATAAAAGTGCTCATTGGTGGAACTTTTGGTATATTTCAAAAACTAAATAGCTGATTCTGAGTTTGTTACTGCAATCAAACGAACTTGGTGCTGATATTTATTTTGTGTGTAATCTATATCCTCTTTTTTGTAGAGAAGCCGATGTGGACTTGCACAAAATCCATTTTTTGAAATCACCGTTTTTTTGTAGAAATTTCAAGTTTTTTTCAAGAAAACTAGCTAAATCTGATATTAAGGGTTTAATCTAAAAATCAGGGTATTGAAGTCCTCCATCTATAAGATGCTTTTCCCATGCTTCATTAGAGAAAAGTAAATGCATATAGGACAAGTTTAATTTTACAATATTTGATTATTTCTTGGAATCTTTTTTTTTTTCAAAAACTACCCAGCCAAATCTAAGGTAAAGAATTCAGTTGAAAGAGCGAGTAGGTGTTTTTCTCCTTTAAATAAGCGGAGAATCCTCTATTGAAGTAGGGAAATCATTAGGGTTTTGCATAATGTACATTTTGTGAGACTTTGAAAATTACTCATTTCGGTATCAGCTCAATCAAAGATTAAAAAATTAAAACCGGTGCATCCAGCATTAGCTGGGCCACTTATTCACCTCCAAGCGACCCTGGCTTAAATATGAGGACGTGAACTCCTAATCAACAATTGGGAGATTCAAATCCGGATCTTCTGAAAGTTACGTAAATAGCACTCTCCAAATGCGAACGTAGAAATGGCCGGAATAAATGTGAATAATTTCTAGTTTCGAAAGTGGAATTTAATTTTTAGATTTCCAGCGAAAAAAAACTTTACTGATTGATCCAGTTTTCTCAAGTTAGGTTAATGCTATCAAAAAAAGCCATTGATAAATTATTCTAGAAATTCAAAGAGCTTAAAGGACAAATATTTTTTACTTTGAAGTTCGAAAGTTGAAGTCAGTGTTTTTTCCTATTTACTTGCGTTCTTTACTCTTTTCCAATTGTCTGTTGGCTATGTTTCCTTTTTCTTGATTTCATTTTGTTTTGCCTGTTCACACCTCTATTTTGCATTTTCCTGGCTTGTGCTTGCGAAGCACAGCTTCGCCCCTGTAAAATTCCATAATTATTTTGAAATGTTCAACTCTGTTTAATCAGATTTGAAGATTTGAGCCTAAAAGATTGTACTTGCAAGGACAAACTAAATGTTTTCTTTCTCAATGAAAGGGTTCGAATCATTCAAATTGCTTCATAATTATATATTTTTTCAATTTTGATATTTACGTTTGCTGTTTTAAAGTCTAGTTGTATCTTTAACTGTATTTTTAACAGCAAGACTAAAAAAGTTCTTATGGTCGACCTTGGTACAGTCGGTGATTAAGTCATATGGATATTTTTTGGGCAGCCCATTGGATCCTGAATCAACTAGTTTCGCCATTCGGTCCTTTCGACCATGCCAGCTCCTAACTGTTTCTCTCTTAGTTTTTAGTGACTTAATGCATCTGACACTTAATTTTCTTCGCGGAGTTTATGCCTTTGTTTCGAATTAATAAAGTTTGATTTGTAGTATATTCACCATTTCAGTTGATTTTTTAAAAAAAAAAAAGATGCTGAGTTTACAGCTGGAATTTTCTTATTTTATGCTGACTGGTTCGATATTCCGGTTTTTTGAAGGCTTTAATTGCTGCGTGGCTTGTTTCCACAGCATTTATAGAAAAAAGATCCGGAAGTCGTTTTTGGGGTCGATAATGAAAAATTACTTCCCTCTAATCTGACCACTGCCACGCTAGCGATCAAAACGTTCTCCATCGGCTTAAGCTAAAAGCAAATCTTAAAACGGATATTTGACGGCCACCCTTGAAAATCATTCAGTGGACCTCTTCAAGAAATAGATGTAATGCTTGAGTTATAAAAACTTTCAACCAAGTTTAGCGGGTTAGACGAACATGTGCAGCATTAGACGAAATGCCGTAGTGCTTTTTCCTTTTTGTTCAAATTACTAGCGACTTAGAGTTGATAATAGCTTGTTTTTTTTAACCGCTAAATAAATTGAACAATTCATTGCCACAATTGCTCTACAATAACACTGTTGGACAGTTTCAGTTGTATTCTGAGTCGATTTCACTCCAATATCTGACTAGATGCCATGTTTTTTCGGCTAGTTTTCATCTGAGTGAATTACTGTAAGATCAATTCCGTTTCGATCAAAAGTCGCCATTATCCCGCCTCTGAAAGAACATTCATGTTTAAGGTCCCGGAAAATGAAGTTCTACTGGAACTTTTGCTGATGAAATGGTTAATCAGAACTTTTTATCCTCAACTACCCCTTCATTAGTTAGTTGTAAGTTAAAACGGTTGGCTTCAGCGTCGTTTCATTTAATAATGTCTGAATGGACATGACACTTAAGCTCAAAATTTTTTGGTAAAGTAGTTGTATTTTCTTTGTTTTCAATTCAGTCGGTTTCTGGTAACTTGTGATTTTCGAAGCTTGATCTCTCCTGCAGACTAATTTTTTCCAGGTTTGTTTTATTTTTCAACTGGGGTTTCCCACAAAAGAATTTTGGAGATTTGCCGCACAGTATATGTCGGGCCTACTTCATGTTACGTACATGTCGGGCCTACTTAATAAAGTAAACTTTTAAGAGTAATGAACGTAGTGAAGACTCTTATATAGGTCTTGATGATTTTTTTTGTTTTTGTTTTTTTTTCAGGAAAAAGTTTTAAAATATTGATGCACTTAGGTATACATGCACTTTTTGCGTTTAATTGAAATCCATCTGCAGAAAGTGACGTAAATAGCACTCTCCAAAGACGAACGTTGAAATGGCGTGAAAAAACATGAACGATTTCTAGTTTCGAAAGTGGAATTTTTTTGAAAGATTTCCCAGAGGAATAAAAACTCTACATTTGATCCAGTTTTCTCAACTTGGGTTGAATTTATCAAAAAAGCGCCCTTCATAAATCGTTCTAACAATTCAAAGAGCTTAAAAGGCATCTATTTTTTTCTTTGAAATTCGAAAATTGAGATTTTTTCAACAAAGTCAGTGTTTTTTGATGTTAACTTGCGTTCATTACTCTTTTGCAATCTTCGATTGGCTATGTTCAATTTATTTTTTCTTCAATCGAAAACTATTTTCGACTCGTTAAACTGCAGTTGGAACATTCAGGTCTCTGCCTTGAGACGAGTAGTCTGTATGTTCATCAATTAATCATTCAGGAGCATGCTGCAAACTCGATGAGTCATCACCACCACCAAGCAGTCAAACGACCCAGAAGTGTTTCCTCGTCACACGGTGCTAACTCCCCCTCCCTCCCAATAGCAGCACACTTCGCTCCCAATGCAAATAATATCCCCCCCGCGAATGGAAACGACAACCAAGGGGAAGCGCTAGGCGTGACTGCTCAGTCGAGAGTGACGGAGCCCATTTCGATATCCTGTTCGCCAGCCTACAACCCAACAATCTACCCACTTGCTTGTTCCCCTTCGCCTACGAGAGTTTCGCAGTCTAATTCAAAGGTGCGCGAGGGCGGACTAGTTCAGTTGAATTTTCTTGAATAATCAACCAATTTTTGGATTCAAGTTTTAAATGGTACTTGTGGAATTTGTGGTCTTAGTTTATAAAAAGGTGAATGTTTTTTGGCTCGTCAGTTTGATAGTTTATTTGTTTTAAGCAATGCTATTCGCCGTCACTTCAGATGCCATTGAATTGGAGTGCATCTTGTCCCAGTCCTACGCAGAGGAAAATCTTGTGAGTGCAAACCAGTCCTCCCTTTTTATTCAGACAGACTTTTCGCTATCATTTAATTGAACTCCAGCCAAACAGTCATTTGTGACCTCGTTGCTTCGTTTAATACTAATCACAGTTTTCATCGAAACTTCGCTCAGCCTAATAAATCGGTCGATATGTTATTCATTCCGAAAATGTTGATAAAATGACTAATGCTCATTGTTCAATGGCAGTGGTGGCAACAATTAGTGCCTTTGAGACGTGAAGTAACCGCGAATTGGGATGAAATTCAGATGACCGCGTTATATCGTTTTTCGCTTGGTAATATCCTTCGGAACATCTTGCTGGGAACTCTCTAAAGAGTGTTTACATGTAACTACAAATAAAACAAGATAAATCTTTACATGTATCAGGCTAGGATATTTATCATTGAAATTGCCAGAGACAATTTTGCGAAAGTGGGTAACATTTTTATATGTTTTAGCCGTCGGAGTCAAAGTCCAGTGACTAATTTGGTGCGGCCTGGTATTCTGGGCAATCCTCTGAACTTGAAGCGCCGCCCAGCAGACTTAGACTCCCTGGAGCACACGCCGTGCAAGCGACCCGCCCCTGACAACACCCCTCCTCCTCCGCCCCCACCCCCCTTCTTCTCAGCAGTCTCCTCTACCTCAGCCGCCTCACATTCTCTCGCTCACTCATTCAACGTGCCAAATTTGCTGTCACAAAGTCATGACGTCATCACCGCTTCTCCGGCCTCGACGCCCAGTTCGCCGCCCCCTTTTGGCTCGCCAGTTAGATGCGTGACTCCGTCTTATCTCTCGCCGCTGATAAGCGAACGGGATAAGCTTCACCATGTCTCGCATTCGGCAGCCACGGTTGAAAGTCCACTCAGTGAAGAACCGAAAGTGGTAAACTTAGAATGCACTCACATCGCAGATCGTAATTAGAAACTTAAGTTTGAAGTATTTTAAAAGTAGCAAAAAATAAAAATCAATTCGGCGCTTCGGAGTCGATGACCGTAGTTCAGAATCTTATATAGGTCGTGATGATTTTTGTCTTCATTTTTTTGCGATTTGACTCATTTCCATCTTTAGAAGGAAGGCGAATTCCACTGTCGAACAGCAAATTTGTAAAATTCACGAGAAACTTGATCAACTTCTAACTTCAAAAATGGAATTTAATTATCAGATATCCCAGCGAAATGAAAAATTTTACCTACTCATCCAGGTTTCTCAAATTGGGTTAGATTTATCTAAAAAGTTCCGGTCATAAATAGTTCTAGAAATTCTAGGAGCTTCAAGGTCATATATTTTTTTTCTTGGGATATCGAAAAATGAATTTAAAAAAATAGTATTTTTTTCCTGTTAATTGCGTTCATAGACTCTTTTCCATCTGTCTGTTGGCAATGTTTAATTTTAATATTTAAAAATACTGCTTGGAAATTATGGTATTATGGAAATCATTCAAACTGAGCTCTTTGTCGTGGCATGTTCTGGTTATTTATTGCAATGATGTAGGCAGAGTAGTTTCCTTTTTTCTATAGAAATAGATGAATATTTGTTGTAGATCAAATAAACATTTTTTGTTATAATAGTATAACTAGCATTCAGTGCCACCTGATGTATTGACCTAGTAGATCGATTTGATATTGACGAGTCAGCTGTGCTTCTTAAATTCAGTAATAGTTGCAAATTCACGTGCTTTCAACTTCGAGTGTTTGATTTGGTAAGCGTCCATTTCAATCATACCAACGAAGTTTTACCTGCTTGATTGTCTAAATGATTTTCACTTTTCATGGTGCTGTTTTGTGAGTATTGTTAATTTCAGTTAGATTTATGTTTTATAAATGCAAATTTAATTAACGACCTTTTTTCGAAGGCGGTTTAAAAGTGAACTTAGATGCTAGTCGGTTCGTTTAGAACAAGTGTCTCGAATGCCTGTCATAACGTCGGTCAAATTTGTTTTCCGAGCTCTTAATCATCTTAAGAATTTCATGTGGCCAAAAATGCCAATTTTTTAAGGTATTGGGACAGAAAAAGCGCTTTTCCATTTCAGTTTGTGTCTTGGCGCCTGCATAAAAAAAATTAGTGTCCAAAGTTATATCCCGAAATATTAACAAAGGTAATTTTTTGGGCAACAAAGGTATCAAATTCCTCAGAGTGGCGGGAATGGTATGCTGGCTACGACTTGGGTGGAACAGAGTGGTGGACGCCCATGAATAGCCAAAAAATATAAGATGGAGACTAAATATAGCGAAGAATGTAACCGGATCGAAGGAAGCTGTTCACCACTTATTGCCAATACTTGGTGTTTATTTTTAAAGGTGAATTGTGGCTTTCGGGAAAGGATATGTTTTTCACAAGCGAGGTAGTCCAACTCACTACTAAAAGTGCTAATTTGGTGGCCATTTTGCTGCTAGTGTTTCTTTTAGATGAACGTCAGTGGCACAGTTGTCTAGGACTGGTTCGACACGCGAGGAGGATTGTTATTTTCATGTTTTCATTCATTTTAAGCCCTTTTTAAAGCTACTTAGCGTTTTGTAGTTAAATTTACTTGTTAAATTATATCAGCAAATCTTTACAACCCATCTGATAAACAGCTAAAAAGCTTGTAGAATGTTTTTTACCTGTTTTTTTTAAATTTTTATTGATGCTTGCGGTTTGCATGGGTTATCAAAGGAATATAGACTTTTTAAGAGTAATGAACGTTGTGAGTACTTTTATATAAGTCTTGCTGATTTTTTTATTTTTTTTTTCCGGGAAAAAGTTTTCTCAATTTGGGTTAGTTTTAACATAAAAGTGCCCAAGATTTCTGAAAAACAAATCGGCTTTTTTGTCGGTTCCTTTACTCCAACTGTCAATTGGCTATGTTCTGGGTTAACAACTTTTTAAACGAAATAACTCGAGTCGTTTGTGACGCTGATGACATGCTCAATGTTTCGAGACTTTAAATTTCACTACTGGCTAGTTTTGGGTTGAAAACCTATTCAACAAAAAACTTGAATCATTTGTAATGCTGCTGTGCTGCTTACAGGCTCAATTTTTTGAGAATTCAAATTAGTAACTGCTGGTTAATGCGATTTCTAGAGTTCTAACCATAGTATGCATATTTATTGAATTGCGATATCATTTTATGCTGATAATTTTATGGTATAATCGATAACAATTTGGCACCAAGTTTTGGAATATTCTAAATCAACAAGGACTTCATCTAAAAACGCAACCCCTCCAACCAGTGACTCCACATACCCCTTCCTTTACCCCCCCCCCCCGTTAGCCCCAGAGGCAAATCAAATCTCGGTTTGTCAGTAACGTGTGTTAAGTAAAAGGCAACTATTAAATTTTGAATATACTGCACTGTGTTTGAAATTTTCAGATAAATTTACAAAAAAATTGGATTATAATCCATTTTACTTGATAATCCATTATAATTGATCATAATCAATTAAAATGGATTTTTTTATTTCACAAAAATTAAATTATAATACAATTTTTCAATCGATTATCTTGGAATTTCTTAGAGAATGACAATGAAAATCCAATATAATCGATTATTATCTATGAAACTCCAGAACGGATTCTTCAATAGTGACATCATTTGCAGTCCTCTCTGCTACTCCTTGAGCGTCATGCACTTTTCATCGTATACTGTTTCTGATGCAAGTGAAGCGAAGATCAGTTATCCACACAGTATCTCTTGCCGCTTCCAGGAGGTATCCTAGTTCTTTCACAATCCTCCAATGTCTCGAGTTGAGCTTCTGCAGATTTCTTGAGCGTCATGCACTTGAGCGTCATGCACTTTTCATCGTATACTGTTTCTGATGCAAGTGAAGCGAAGATCAGTTATCCACACAGTATCTCTTGCCGCTTCCAGGAGGTATCCTAGTTCTTTCACAATCCTCCAATGTCTCGAGTTGAGCTTCTGCAGATTTCGTTTCTAACAAACTGATAATCTGAATTTTAGAATTTTATCAATCTTGATCTGATCAAACATGTCTATGCCACTTCTTGAGCGCGATGTTGGTTCCATGTTAAATATGTCGTATCGCAAGTGGTGCGAAACTCAGCCCGCCTTTTTGTTTTGGACTATCATAATTTGCAGAAAAATATATGGTATCTTATCTTCTTAAATATTAAATGAAAGGCGGAATGCGCTATGGACGCAATGTTTAACTGAACACAATGCTTAAGAATTATTAGGAGACAATGTTTAAAAGGCTATCCAGCGTAACGTTTAAGAGCGATTCAGAGCAACTATCAGAGGTAGATGAACTCGATCCAACTTTAAGGCTAGATAGTACGTGCCTAATTTTAGTCCAAAATGTTGCGTTTTGGATTCATTTCAGTCTGAAACGAATCACCTACAAACAGAAACCTCCATGCGAAGAAAGAAACTTTTTGCGAACTGATTCGGTCTATGAAATAAATGGAATAATTTCAAGTTTCATAGCATGAAAACCTTGCTTAGAAGAACTGAAACTTTTCGCGAACCGATTCAGTCCAAGAAATAACTTCGAAATATTTCAAAGTTTCATAGCTAGCTTCAAAAAACTTCATTAGTTTCTTTGAAGCTAGCTATGAAACGTTACAATATTTTCATTTATTTCACAGACCGAAACGGTTCGCAAAAAGTCATAGACTGAATGGCGAACCGATTCAGTCTATGAAATAACTTGTTACACCGAAGACTTTAGTCAAGGTGTTATGGTATCGTGTAACGGGTTTTTTTTTTAATGTTGTCTGTTGTCAAGTGTCGACAAATAACGTCCACAGTTATCAGTTATCATGTGGGCTGGACTATATCGCGCTATGTCACGTGATTGCGTATGTTTGTTTCTTTATTTGTTCATCTTTATTTATTTAATTATCTGTTCTTCTATTTATTTAATTATGTTTAGTTTGCTTATATTTATTTATAATTTATGTATTACATATTTATTTTTGTTTATTTTTATCACGTGTTTTGTTTATTTATTTAATTATTCTTTCTTTCATTTAGTTTTGCTTTTATTATTTCTGCGTGTGTATTTATTTAATTTATTTATTTTCATTTATTTATATTATGGGTCTGTTTGTTTGGTTATTTGTTCATATATATTTTTTCATGTCTATTTAATTATTTGTACATTTCACTTTTGCTTTTATTTATTTATTTATTTATTTATTTATGTAATTATTTATGTATTTATTTATTTATTTATTTATGTATTGATTTATTTTTTTATTGCTTATTTATTTATCAGGTGTGTTTTGTTTATTCGTTGATATTTATTGCTATATTTATTTAATTATTTTCTTTCATTTAGTTTTGCTTTTATTTATTATTCATGTATGTATTTATTTATTCATTTATTTATTTATGTTTATTTATTTTTGGTTTGTTCGTTCATTTGTTGGTTTGTTCGTTCATTTATTTATTTATTTAGTTAGCGTCTTTGTTGTTTGATTGTGAAATTTGATGTTTTACTTCTTAGCTATGTAGTTAAAAGCAAAAAATGATTTTCAATTTATTGTTGTTTAGGATATTTTCAGAAAGATCTGTATATCACCAATTAACGTACAACGATTTACAGGGAACGCTGCCAACGAGATTTGTCCACTTGCTTTTGGGTTGCAGCTACATCAAAAATGATTTTAAATTATTTATCTTAAAGATTTATCTATAGTTATATCTGTCCGGTAATTAATTTTCAAATTTGCTTTTGTATTTCTCAAAAAAGAATTTGTTGGAGCGTGGACTCAATAACGTAAAGCAAAATGTTAAATTTTATGTTACTTCTATTTTCAGTCATGTAATGGAGCCATTTCGACCCAAGGGCATTGCAAATGATGACAACAGTTGCTATCTCAATTCTGTTCTTCAGCTTTTGTTGTCAAGCGCTTGCATCAGAGATCGGCTCAGTAGACTTACTGAATTTGACCATGGTGGCGTGTTAATTTCAACTGTGAAAGAGATATTTTGTCAAATGCTGTCCACAGAAAACTTTTCATCAATGCGTCTACTTCCAAAGTTAAAATTCGCCAGCATCTTGATTTGAATTACAGCTTCTCATATACCTATGGACATCAGCACGATGCTTCCGAGGTACTACTGTCAATTATCAATGCATTTAAATCTGAGGGCCAATGGAATTTCTTTGAAATATCGTATTCAGATAATTTCACGTGTTGTCTGTGTAATGTGTCATGGAGAAGACCTGAAACTACTTCTGCGTTAGTTTTAAGTCCTCCACGCAATGGTCAACTTCTGCAGGAGCTTGTGGTCAATCACTTCGCCAACCAAGCCGTTAATGTAGCATGTCCAAATTCCACGTGTATCTCAGAAAGGGCAAAACAACTAAAGAACCAACCCATATTGCAAATACTGTTATTTTGCTGATTGCGCGTTACATGTTTGTCGCTGGCCGATTGAAACGACAGGAGGCGTTTTGCTACACATACAAACACAATCTTTTGTATTTTATTATAGCTATAGAAATTGATCTACAATGCGTAAGTACGACATTTAGTTCTACGATTGTTATTTCAGGTCCTTTGTCAATATTTCAGGCTCTTTGTCAATATAGCAAAATTTTGGTGTATATATGTGTTAGTAATATTTTTATCTCTACAACGTTTATTCAGGCACTTTGTCGATATAGCAAAATATTGGTGTATACATGTGTTAGTACGATTTTAGCTCTAGAATTGTTATTTCAGGCTCTTCGTCAATATAGCAATATTTTAGCGTATACATGTGTTAGTACCATTTTTAGTTCTCGAACTGTTATTTTATGATCTATGTCAAAATATCAAAATTTTAGTGTATACATGTGTTATTACGATTTTTAGTTCTCGAACTGTTATTTCATGATCTTTGTCAATATATCAAAATTTTA